CTAAGCCAACTCACAGTCAGGCACGATAGGCGAGTCAAAGAGATTCTTGCGTCATTGACGGCCACCATAATAACCAGAAGGTGCGAACATGATTGTTCAGCCACGGATGACCAAAGTCGCGACTGAAACCGGAATAATCGTACGGGTCGCAGACTTGGTGCATTCAGGCATCGTATTTCGGGTTAGATCTCCGAGTTCAAGTGAGTCATTCGAGCTCTGGCCACTATGGCAGCAGACACCAGCTGCTGCTGAGGAGCTCGAGAACCACTCGGAAATACTCGCCGGTTTCATGTTTCCCAATGTTGAGTATTCCCGGTGGTGACATGATTTTTGTGCAAGTTCAATCGGAGGCCCCCTACGACAGCTCGAAGAACTGAGGAAGGGGGGCACGATTGGACGGTCAAAAATCAGCACAAACCGGGCGCGCGCGATATTCGCAAAAGCACGCAAACACATAGCTAATGGAGTCGTTTCAGATGGAACCACTCCTCCGTGTAACGGGGCGAGCATTCATTATGCTCAGCGCGGCCTCACAGCCGCGCTTGAACCGCAGAAGCGGTTCAGAATGTGGGCCGTAGCCCCATTCTCAAAAGGGCCTTAGCCCTTGGGCTTCTCTTTTCAAAACCCAGCCCTCCCACCCGGGATCAATCACTTGGCCCGCCTACCTAAGCCAACTCACAGTCAGGCACGATAGGCGAGTCAAAGAGATTCTTGCGTCATTGACGTCACCATAATAACCCGAAGGTGCGAACATGATTGTTCAGCCACGGATGACCAAAGTCGCGACTGAAACCGGAATAATCGTACGGGTCGCAGACTTGGTGTAAAATAGATTCAGACGACTTGAATGATCAATCCTCGTTTTGTCCTCTGCATCTCCGTAAAGCTCGTTACGGCGCCGTAATTTTACGGTACGGAGCTTGAGCCGTAACGTAATTCTGCCCATCTATAATACTCAAGAGTGAGAGGACTCGACTACACAGTAGCATATCTTCCAACACTTCATACCAGCAATAAAGTTTTTGAGAGCATTTGTCACTGTGAAAAGCAACACGTATCCATTTTGGTCAACAGCGGTACATAACACATGCATTAAAGATCGAATCTATACTGGCTTCACGTAGCTGACCTTTCTACTTCTGTATCCAAACTTAATGAGTATCGCCGCCACAATGCCAAATAGCACTCCCACAATGATGAGAATAATACCGAGGATACTGAATAAACCAACGGATTTCTGAATTTTCTTAGCTGCATCAATCTGAAATGGCCAGGCTTCAGCATGCTTATCAACCCAAAAGAGAGGGAGTAGGGCTTCCTGTGAGAGATCTCCATCTGAGGTATTCGCCAGGGAAGTAAAGCGAGAATTAAACTGAAGCTTCTGTGTACCATACATAATTGTACCGGTAATAGGCTCCGACCATATCTCACTAATGAAGTCACGTTCACCTTGACATGTCTCGTCAATGCTACATTCCTTCACTATAATCCTACCATCACCTGGATAGTAGTTATCTTTAATGGAGCTCATCTTGCCTGTATCGGCGAAGTGTGGGAGTGATGCATATATTGGTAATTTGATCATAGTAGGATCAGGTGAGAAATGGTATCCCAAATCAGCGGTAACATAAGGAGATTTACAATCGATACCAGGGCTGTAAAGGGGGCTCTCACCGTTACAGTTCTCTGCTCGGAAGGTAACATCACGTAAACGCCAGCGGTCAACCTTGAGACCGTGCCAATCCATATTGATGACTGTATTCTCGAAGGTAGCATGATTAAAAACATCCGTTACGAATAAGGTAACCTGAGCACCCTCCTTATGATAAGCATCATCCTCCTTCCCATTCAATGTACCCGGTATGTAACGGGTATCATATCCATCAGCCAAGGTTGGGTCACATCCGAACTTCCCCGCCTCACATGTACGATTGGCTAGGAAGCTTTCTTGAGCCATACAATCCTTATCGAATGTACATGCATAAGATTTACCATCATACATACGATAATAAAAGAGGCCCTTTCTACCGTATTTACTCGATACATATTGTTCTGTATAGCCTGTCGTACTACTACCAGCACTACCAAGGGTTATTGGAGTTGAAGTGGCTTTATCAAAGAAGTAATTGCCTTTATACCCTAATAGCTGAGCAATGGTCATGTTGATAAATCTAGGATAGTAATCATAATCAGAATCATATTCTGAGCTGTTAGGATCTGTAACAGGCCAGATAGAATGACGTAAAGGATCATAATTAGATAGAGCATATGATCCAGCGTAACCAATATGAGAAAGGAATACAGCATTTTCGGCTGGTGTAAGCTGTGATTGTAATGTGAATAGACTTATTGTTGCCTGTGGTTGTTGGGTAAAGTCCGTATCGTATATAAACCTCCATATAGCCTCCTTCCCATCTGATGATAGCAAATCATCAATAGCCTCCTTCTTAACGCGTTGTTCGTCTACACTCTCATCATATATGCAACTATGAGTATCTCGATTATGAGAGGCGACACATCCAAAGGTATAAGCCATAAGTTCACTACCCATCTCGGTAGGTGGTAATGTAGCTTCTAGTATATCAGCATTGGGGAAGGATGATGATATTAAGTAGGGTACGAGGGCCCTTAGGGATAGTTCACCAGTTAGACCAGCAGATGGACCCAACAAGAGTGAGAGGGAAGAATGGAAGTACTGCATTTTGGCTGCATTCTCAGAGGTGGTGAATTGTGTAAGGATTGTTGTCTTTAGTGATGATGATGATGTTATTGGTATAGCATCTATAGTAGCC